GAGCTAGGAAGCAGAAAAGAAACATTTGATCATCGGGCTTGCACCTCCCATTCTACCAATGCAATATGAATTGCATGAACTGAGTTGCGTTTTATGTAGCCTACTGATCTGACAGCTCAGTCCTCGTCGCTCACGAAGGAGTGCTAGTCACTGCGACAAAAATGGCGACATACTGTGCGTTTGTCTTTAAGTCTTTCACTTATCCGTTGAATATGTAGTAGTAGTAGTTGTAAGTAATGTAATAGTTTGCTAGGACTTCAGCTATCAAGCTATTTCGCACCCGAGGTCAAAAGTTAACATCGCCAGCAAGGCGGAAGGTCTCACTTCTTCAAAATCTCAAATTAATCATCACCCACAAGGGGCGGAAGGTCTCAATTTTCCAGCCCGCTGAAGCTGGCTCGAAAGAAGCAGCGTTAGCATCTCAAAGAGACGAAGTGAAAAGGAGGGACGAGTGACAAAGAGGGACAGATGACAAGGAGGGACAGGTGACAATGAGGGACAGCTGAAAAGTAACAGAAACGAAGACACTCGAACAAGATGTCGCTTACACGGGATGTCGGCCGCCCGCACGAGAGAGACAGAAGGGAAATGTTAGGAACCCTACCTACACAATAATGTAATGTAAGGAATCCTACCTACATAATAACTAAATGTAAGGAATCCAACCTACATAATAACTTAATGAAAGGAATCCTACCTATAATTAATTTAATGTAGGGTATGCTACCTGCGTAATAATGTAAGGAATCCAACCTACATAATAACTTAATGTAAGGAATCCTACCTGCATTATAACTTATTATAAGGAATCCTACCTACATAATAACTTAATGTAAGGAATCCTACCTACATAATACATTAATGTAAGGAATCCTACCTACGTAATAACTTAATGTAAGGAATCCTACCCACGTAATAACTTGATGTAAGAAATCCTACCTACAAAATAACTTAACTAGCTTATGAGTACTAAACAGACATTTAGAAAATAGATAATGATTCATTGAGTGTGGACAGGAAAAAATTTGACATGTTTAATGCAACTTATGTCGTGTTTGAGGTGTTTTACGATGAATTCGTTATTATGATTAGCACTGTCTCAAGGGCTATATAACTGCGTATTGACTAATTCAAATCACAACCTGAAGAAAAATCGGAGTATCCGTATTTTAGATACAAGTTTTCAGCAGAAAGTCCGCCCTCGGATCCGGATTCGTAGTCCGCCAAGGACTTTCGCTCCTCAGAAAGTACTTTCGTATAATATTTGCGCCAAAAAGCTTTCCCATCTTAAAATTTTTGAAGTACAACTTCCGAAGACGGAAGAGCTTTGTTTTGCTGTCCTGCTTATGTCTCTTTGTGGCAACTGTATCAGTATCACACATAGACGGACAGCGGGACAGGTCGCCAGAGCTCTCAGCCTGCCATGCCGTGGGCGTGAGGCATGAGCCATCAGCCCATCACCCATCTTCATCATTACCCTTATGGCGTTATATAATAACCGTAATCATGTGTTAGCAAATTCCAAGGGGCTAGTCGACCAAGAGAAGCTCTTATTCAAGTTATTCAGTTATTGTACAAGTACAGTTTCCTTGCTTGCTATGTTCAGTATGTTGCTAATAGTAATAAGTTCATTTTAAGTTGCAGTCTCTGCTCTCAACAGGACAACACTCACAACAGCCAGTAACACTGTAATTATTGTAATTGTACCACTATTAAAAATTAAGTGTTATTAGAATTTTGGTGTTATTAAAATTTACTAGCAGTGAGGCTTTCTGAATTTTAATACAAAAATTAGAATTCAGTATTTAGAAGTATTTAGAATTCATAATTTGATAGATAAATTGTATAGGTAATTGATAATTTTGTTAAATAGGCCTATTATTAAAAAATTAATGCTCACTTATGAATATGAGAAACATGATATAAAAATTTTTCACAATTTATAGGAAGTTAGGAACAGCACCTATGACCTAGATGAGTAAACATGAAATGAGGTATTTAAAATTTTAATGCTTAATAGGGATAGGGTAAACACACCATATTCCATTCCAATTCCCGACACTGTGAGTCTGTGGGTAGGGTAAATGCAGTATATTCCGTCACATTAAGGACGCATTGAGAAATGAAAAACTATAAAAAAATAACCGTATGTATTACTCAAGTTCTGTTTGCTTTATGTGACTCTCAAAACACCGCACTACGCGTCAGCAATGACGAAACGTCACAAAATGTTGCCATATTTATTTAAAAGCCTTTAGATGTAGAGCAAGGTCAACTGTCAAAATTGATACATTTTTTGATGATCTCACTGGGTAGTGTGCATTGTCTCTCTTTGGATCTCAATATTTTCCTGCTAGATGGCCAAGACCTAGTGTTTTGACAGTAGTTTGACGCGCAAATGCATGACGTCACCATTTCAACCATCAACAAATGCATGGAACTAAAACAAAGCTTAATATAAAGGAAAAACTAGAGAGGTGACGGAATTACCCACGATGTCGGAATATACCGCGTTTACCCTAATTCCTTTCCAACACCCCTTAACTTTTACCTTTATATTAAGCTTGGTCTTAGTTCCACCGTCCAGTCGTCCACTCATACCGCCATGCGGACGGTCAGCATACCTAGATGGTTGAAATAGTGACATCATACCATTGTGTGCAAGATTTCCGCAAAACATTAGGTCTAGCACGAAAATGTTAAGATCTGCAGAGCAAAAGTCCAAGTCAGCTCCTGAGAACATTGAAGCACCTCAAGCATGTATGAAAGTTGATAGTTGACCTTGCTTTACTAAATAGTGATAAACTGTTTTTGTAAAATGAATATTATGGTTTCATTGATTTGGGACTTTTAAATAAGTCTGTGAATATATTAGGAATCCTTTAAGTATACTTGTATTTGCTGATTTTAAGTGATAAATAAATTAACAGATGAATGATTTAAGAGACTGTTTTTGACACATAAGAACTAATTCCAATACAGGGTGTCGGAATTAGTCTCACAATATGCCGCATTTAGTCACACACAGTGTTGGAATTCAGCAATTTTGTAGAATTCAATTCTAAAGGCTTTTAAATAATTAATTTGCAGATAATTTAACAATTTTGCAGATACCTTCGGTTTGGTTTGACAGCATTGGCATGTGCTTCCACAGCTGCAGGCTATACAAGAACTATGGGAATCAGGCTGGAATTAAAGGATAGTGCATAAAGCTTCTGTCATTTTTCGGCAGATGCATATCCATCTCCATACTGTAATTGTTTGGTGTGATTATGATGTCATCTTTCCAGACTGTGATTGTTTGTGTCCAATATACTCTGTGTAGTGGCTAATTTATTACCCTCCTTGCATTGCAAACTGCACTTAGAAGCAATTTGATGCAAATTAAATCTAATTTAACATTTGATTCTTTATCCATTGCACTTGAGTTATGCAGCTCCTGCTTGTTTGTTTATAATGTTTAATGCTTATACCGGTATTCTTTATAATATGATTGATATTAGTAATACTATCTTTTTTAGTTTACCAGTATGCTTTTAGTTATGTATAGATACTGGAAAGGCCATAAAGTTGTATCATAAAGTTAGTATCTAACATTTAGTTAGGTACTAAAGGCCATTTGTAATATTATCTGGCATTGAGATATTTTAAAGGTTGAGTATCCAATTTTAAATGTTTATTCAATGAATAAACAATTATTGAATATTCCAAATAATGTTGAAATTAATAATACTAACAATGAATGATGATTCCAATATTATATAAGATTAATTTATTTGAAGCATTGCAGCTCCATGAAGTTTATTTGGGAAACTCTATGTTTTTACTAAAATAAGAAAGGCCTAATATCATGTCATTTGAGTGAGTTTGAACTCTCAAAGTATTTTAGTTTCATAGACATGTAGATATTGCATTTGAATGGGAAATGGCTTGGCTTGCAAATATAGGTGCTAGGCATGGAAAAGATCTGTCTAAAGCTCAAGGCTCAAGCCACAATATTTTTCGTAAATTAATATAATTAAATGTATATAATTTATTAAATGTATATAATGTAATAAATGTATTAAATGTATGTATATAATTAAATGTATTCCACATTTTGCTAAGCAGTTGTACAGCTTTATTCATCATTCAATAAATTGAATGGATTAATGGAGCTGTGAGTTTGTCCAATTTGATGGTATGAATAAATTGAAGCCACAAGTTCTGTTCTTTAAGACCTTTAATCCATTTTCTAAGCCAAGGAAGACAATATTAAAACCCAATCTGGAACATCATGTAGAGTCTTCCAAAAATTGTCAGTATAAATTAATGTTTTTTTATCTGTTCTGAAAATTGCATGCCAAAATATATTGTTTTTCTTTTTAGCGCATTTTCTCATTTATGGAAAAAATGCGCTATTGTGCTCACCATGTCCGTCCATCCGTCTGTCTGTCTCAAGTTTTCATCAATGAGAAAATGCGCTCTCTGTCACTCACTGCAGTGAGTACTGAGTTATATTTTTTTTATAAAAAATAGACAAGGGTCATAAAACTAAGTGCAATTTACTAGAAGCCTTTTTTTCTTATTCTCAGATGACTTTTGCCCAATTTTCCAGAATGGATTATAACCGCATCAGAGCATTGAGTCTTGCATGGTACTTTACCCTGGAGTAAAAACAATAAAATTTCACTAATCTTTAATAACCCAAGGTCAAGGATATAACTCAGCTTAATTTTTTTTCACAGTTGTGGCTATATTACTCATGGCTTCAACAATCCTGTCATGGCTTGGAGAATTAAAGTTTTCCATACATAAATGCATGTCACTTGTTTCATTCAAGTCTGTAATCTTGATGTTCAATGTTGAAGTGGGAAAATATTAGACATGAAGGTAAAAATTTATTTATTTTACAGCCTTGAAAAAATTATTTTGTCTTTAACATTGATACAACTCAAAAACTTTGCAGTTTCAAATGAAAATTAAAATTTTTCAAAGACCTGACCTGATAAAGTTGTCATTTTTATCTTCTAGAATAAAATAAGAGCAACTAAAATTCCATGGTGTAATTCAGTATGGAATGCATGGACAATTTGAAGCTCTCAACAAGAACAAAAATTGCAGATCTTAATTCTTGAAAATGCATACATACTGCAAATTCAGATAGTATTGACATTTTTAACGAGCAGTCTAGTCATTCACTTAATTCATATTTATTCATGACATTAAGTGCTGGTGGAAAATAACCAGGTTTTGTTTCATAAATATGCACCAGACATTATCTAGAACTAGAAGAAATTTGAAGAATCAACACAATGCTGTTGAAGCTTTGGCTGCAGAGACACCCGAAGGAGTCGAGTATTGCAGCAGACGGTCTGTATTGTTGGCAAGTGATACGGCAGGAGCACAATCAGTGATGGAGACTCCTGAGACAAATAATTCTCAACATGGAACAAAAACAACTGCTTCTTCAGAGAATAGAACCTTGCTTGGTGCTGTGACAATGGACTTTTCTGACAGTATCAATAGATCTCCTCTTAGTGTCAAGTCAAAGTTGGAAAATCTATCAAGAAGTAGAAGTACAAAGAGGTCTCTAAAAACTCCACCATCAAGGAAAAAGTTTCATATTGAAAAGGCTGACTTTGATATATCAACTGACAATGACAGTACTCCTGATTTGAACCCCAAGATAGATGTCTTCAGCTCTGATTCTGAGCTCTCAGAAAGTGAATTTGCAATCAATAAAAGGAATTTGATGTCCATTGTGGGAGATTCTGATCTTGAGCCTGAATCCAAATCACCTTTTAACTGGAAGAAAGAAAATAAAATGAGAAGAAAGTCCATAGCTGAGGTAATCCTGCCTTCTGATGTGAATGATTCCGTGGCACTCTCTCGTAAACTAAAACTTAATGCAAATGTTGAGAAGTTGGCTCCTGGAAGACGTAGCAAACCAATTGTCGGCTCTGAGGGAAATGATGCATCTGGGTTTGAGTCTTCCACCAAGTCAATTTTAAGTAAAAAGCCATTTCCTACCACTAGGAAATCAATAGCTGTAACTGGAAGAAATCATTCAGTTGCTATAGCTGATAAAAAATCAAATGATATGCATACAGAAAAGAAAGCCAAAGTGTATTCAGATTCAGTTACACCTAACAACAAAGATATAGCTAAATGTCAAAGGAAGTCCATGCGTTTAAGCGCACGAAATTTGTCCTCGTGCTTCACTAGAGCAAATTCTTTGGAAAATGACAGTGATTCTCTAGACATCAATTACATTGAAGGAGAGTCTTCTTCTAAGGAATGTTTTCAATCAAAATTGACTGTTGATAATAACTTGAACCAAAAAGTCTCTGGTGGATGTGTAACAAGTGATGCCCTTGCTGGGGTGAAGTTAAATGTGAAGCAATCATTGCAGTTGGATGACTCAGAAGGCAGTGACTTTGCTTCGGACAAGAATGAAGAAGCAAAAGAATTGAAACGATCAATTTCCATCACCACAAAGCAGCATGAAGATTTGACTCGTTCAGATAGTAAGTCGAATATATTACATAATATATTATTCTATCTATGTTATATATTATTATCATAATTGATTATGAAGGAAAGTGTATGTGCTTGTTCTGTCATTTGTGTGTTATCATTCACAGAACAGAACATTCACTTGTATGTGCTTATTATCATTCTCAAAAAATTATTTTGAATTAATTTATAACTATTAAAAGTATTTTGAATTAATTAATTACCCACTATTATAAGTATTTTGCTTTACTTAATCACTATTACAAGTATTTATATTAATTAATTACTGTTAAAAGTAGTTTTCATTAATTATTTACTATTTAAAGTATTTTGCATTAATTAATTATAATCAAAATTATTTTACAATTAATTCACTGAATTTCCTGCAGCCCTTCCTACAGAAAAGCACTTGACGTCCCAAAGCCTCGAGATGCCCCAAACTTCCATCATTCCGAACCCCTCCTCCTCCTCCGCGGGGACGGAGGCAAGCAAGCCGAGTAAACCTTGCCTGAAAACCCCCGCTGCTGCTGTTGATGCTAAGCTGCCTGCCACCAGAGAAATACTTAAAGGTAGATGCATTAATATATATATATAGAGCAGTGGTTCCCAAACTTTTTCAGGCTGGCACCCCCTTTGGCTCTCCAGTGAATCTCTAGCGCCCCCCGCAGACAGACACATATAAAAACAAACACCTCTTTCTTGATATTTAGTATGCTGCAATTTTGAAAGAAAAAGGTTAAACACAGATCTTTCCACTGCCCCCAGGGGAACAATATTGCCCACTTTGGGAACCACTGATATAGAGTATAATAATGTGCAGCGTTCCCCCATTAGAAAAGTTTTTAACCCTGTGTTTCAATGGCTGGCAGGATAAATGTTGTGTTGATGTTAGATCCTAGGATCTAAGATTACATCATCAACTTTTTGTAAGTGTTTTTCTTCTCTATACGATGAATTTGTGGTCTGATGTTGATCAATAACGATCATATCTCATTCATTTGTTGGAAATTATACAGAGTTTTATGACACTGCTTTATTTTAATTCAGTGGATACCAAGAATATTATTTTTTACACCATTAGGTTGTTTTATATTGTTGTTATTTTGGAACCTTGATTAATAAATTGTTTTTAACTGTAATGTGGTCAATGGACCAGTGCTGGAACAACAGCATTTAAGTTTTTATGTTTACAAATAATATCAAACTGAATATATGAAGAATGGCCTCTGCTATAGATTGATTATCACCAATTATATAAGTATTCATATCTAGCCAGTTTATGAATTACATATTGAAACAGGCATCCTTAATAACTTTATCATGTTGATGATATTAAATGTATAGTTCATGCCAGTCATAGAGTATGTACATTAATGTAGATATTAAATGCATAGTTCATGCCAGTCAAAGAGTATGTACATTAATGAAGATATTATTGCACAGTTCATGCCTGTCATAGAGTATGTACATTAATGTAGATATTAAATGCATAGTTCATGCCAGTCATAGAGTATGTACATTAATATAGATATTAAATACATAGTTCATGCCTGTCATAGAGCATATAATGTAGATATTAAATACCTAGTTCATGCCAGTCATAGAGTATGAACATTAATGTATATACTAATGCATAGTTCATACCAGTCATAGAGTACCTACATACATTAATGTAGATATTAAATACATAATTGATGGCAGGAGTGACCGTGTTTGTGGACGTGCGCTCAAGTGACGGCAGCAACAGGTCAGCAGCGATGCGGGAGCGTCTTGCTGCTCTCGGGGCTGACGTCAGGCTCAAGCTGACGCAGGACGTCACCCACGTTGTCTTCAGAGACGGTCTCAAGGTGTGTAGATAGAACAAAGGAAGTCATTTATTATTGTAGTTAATGTTATATTCACATACTTAGCTGTATAGAAATGATGGTAAGAATAGAGCATAAACTAATAGATATTATATATTAATTTATTAATAATCCATACTAGATCATTAGTTGTCTTCAGAGTTGGTCTCAAGGTGTTTTTTGAATAAATTTGAGTTTTTATATTAAAAAATGGATTTGAAGATATCGGGTGTGCATTTCAATAATTTTTTGTCTTCTAGTCTAATCGTTCTCAATAATAAGTCATGAGATGTAAAAAAAATTAAGTCTATTTATGTAAAGTTTTGTAAGTAGAATCTGCATTGAGAAGTATTTATGAGTGCAATGTTTCAAGTGTCATTTCCACAAATGCAGGATTTGTCCAATTTTAATTTTTTAACTGGGCCTCGAGTTAGTATCTACGTAGTTTCTTGTTGGAATTTATTTAACTGAGACCTTTTCTACTTACTTTCTAGCTGTACATTAGCTCCAAAATTATTTCTTCTCTGAAATTAGACCCGTAAAGTTATTCCTTTATATAAATTAGCCTCAAAATTATTTTTTCATAGAAATTAACCCCTAAAATAATTCTCCCTATAAATTAAATTCCAAAAATTATTTCTTTTCATAAATTAGATTCCCAAAATTAATTTTTTTTTTAAATAGATCCTCAGTATAATTTCTTCATATAAATTAGAGCCCCAAAATTATTTATTATTTTATTTATTCCTTCCTATAATTCTATCACAACCACATGTCTGTACCAGTCGACGTACCAAGTGAGCACGCGGCGTTGTTTTTGCCTGTACCCATTATTTCTGTACCTGTAATCGTGTACCTGTACCCATTATTTTGGCCTGTACCCATTTATTTCTGTACCTGTAATCGTGTACCTGTACCCATTTATTTCTTATTATAATTCTCTGTACCAGTCGACGTACCAAGTGAGCACGCGGCGCGGGCTGTACCTGGTCTCCTGTACCTGGGTGGAGTGCTGCAGGCAGACAGGTACACGTGTACCTGAGGTACAGTACCCCTCCACCTCCCTGCACAAGTACCAGGACCCGCTCTTCCTGGCACGCCTCAGGGTATGTCATACTTGGGGTAATTGTGGTACTCAGGGTACTTGTGGTACTCGGGGTACTGGGGGTAATTGTGGTACCTACTCGGGGTAGTTGGGGTAATTGTGGTACTCAGGGTACTTGGGGTAATTGTGGTACTCGGGGTACTGGGGGTAATTGTGGTACTTGGGGTAATTGTGGTACTTGGGGTAATTGTGGTACTTGGGGTCCTTGGGGTAATTGTGGTACTGGGGGTGATTGGGGTACTGGGGTAATTGTGGTACTGGGGGTAATTGTGGTACCTACTCGGGGTAGTTGCTGTAATTGTGGTACTGGGGGTAATTGTGGTACTGGGGGTCCTTGGGGTAATTGTGGTACTGGGGGTCCTTGGGGTAATTGTGGTACTGGGGGTCCTTGGGGTAATTGTGGTACTGGGGGTCCTTGGGGTAATTGTGGTACTGGGGGTCCTTGGGGTAATTGTGGTACTGGGGGTACTTGGGGTAAATGTGGTACTGGGGGTACTTGGGGTAATTGTGGTACTGGGGGTACTTGGGGTAAATGTGGTACTGGGGGTACTTGGGGTAATTGTGGTACTTGGGGTGATTGTGATAGTTGATTTATATTTCTTGATAATTTCAATCTATGCTAGTGCTACACAGATTTATTAAAAATTATGTTCTGTCATCATTAATTAGAATAATTATTATTATTTTTACACATTTTTTCTTTAAATATTAGAACGATTATGCTCGTACTTTTTTATATATTAGTAGTTATACAGGATGATACAAGCTATAACTCAAATTATGATATATAACTTGTGTTATCTTGTAGTAATAATGAAAATATTGCTTAAAAAGTAACCACTATTAACAACTTATTATTCATAATTTCTTCTGCTGAAGAGCTATATCTTGTATTAATAATATATAAGTCATAGCAACAGCTTTGATCTTGGTAATCATAATATTAATACATAAATATATATTGATTATTACCTATATATTCACAATCATAACAATAGTATTGATGTTGCTAATGATAATATTAATAAATAAATATTATCTAATAATTATTATATGTTATAATTTCACCAGATTGCTTGAATGATTCACCAGAAATTTAAAAGCCAAGAAAATTATAGAAAAATTCAGCATTTCTCTATTGAAAACGTTTCGGAGACCAGCTCCATTGTCAGTTTGATAAATCTAGAACACAGATACAGTCAGAAACTTATTGAAGTTTGGAGCCATGAGAAAAAAAAATTATTATACCGGTATATTGACAACGGCTGTTGCTATTTAACAATAGTATTGATAATGTTAATGATAATATCAATAAGTAAATATTATGTAATAATTATTATATGTTGTGCAGAAGACGCGCTCGATGCAGCCCAAGGACTTCTCGGAGGACCTCGCTGCTGCCGAGGAGCGCATCAGACGACGCCTGCGACGACAGGCCCGGGCCAGCCCTGCCCCCTCCCCTGCTGCCCTGCAGGTGCTGTTATTTGTTATAACCTTCTGATGGGGAGGTACTAAAAGGTACTTGAAGCCCCCGCCCCTGCTGCCCTACAGGTGCTGTTATTTGTTATAACCTTCTGATGGGGAGGTACTAAAAGGTACTTGAAGCCCCCGCCCCTGCTGCCCTACAGGTGCTGTTATTTGTTATAACCTTCTGATGGGGAGGTACTAAATGGTACTTACAGCCCCCTCCCCCTCCCCTGCTGCCCTGCAGGTGCTGTTATTTGTTATAACCTTCTGATGGGGAGGTACTAAATGGTACTTACAGCCCTGCCCCCTCCCCTGCTGCCCTACAGGTCGTCTTGCTATTTAGTATAACCTTCTGATGGGGAGGTACTAAAAGGTCCTTGCGTCCTCTGACTCCGTCAATAGTAATTAGTAAATAAAATATTTCATTTATTTTGTAATTAGCATGTTTTTTAATTAGTATCTAAAATATTTCATTCCCCCACAGGAAGAGTCCCCCCTACAGAGCATCTGCCACCTCCTCACCCCCAAACGTCTCCCCAGCCCCGGGGTGTCGTCGGGTGCCAACGGGGGCCACTCCCCCAAGAACTACCTTCTTGATGCCGTCTTTGCTCTCAACCCCAGCTTGTTTAAGGATAAAGTCGACAAAAATTACTTCAAACTGAATAATTTTGGATTTGAGTCTGAGTTTGAAGACAGAAATGTCGAGCCACGTCAGGCCGAAAAAACTGATGGTCTCGTCCGACAAAGAAATGATTCCGATGATCTCAGGGAAATGTTGAAGCGGAAATACCTGACCAATGTTCAGGAAAGTTTGTTATCATCATCGTCGCTTTCTCCTTCTGATAAAAGTATTACTGGAAAAGATAAAAGTATTACTGGCAGTGATAGTGATGTGGTCGGGTCGAGTTTGCGTAAATCTAAGCGTCTCAGCAGCGGCTTGATAAACCGAAGAGATTATTTAAATTTCAGTCGACACGGAAGAAGTGACGATAGAAATGGCCAAGCCTGCGAAAATGGACAAAATTCTGTTGGAAATGTCAACGGAAAATTTGCGGCAGGCAGCAGTGAAATCTATGCAGAAAATGAGGACATTTTCATGAGTCCACACAAAAATTCAGAACCTCAGAGAATTTCTGAAATTTTTAGTAAAAATCGGCAAAAACCTGTTGAAGTTGCCAGTAAATATGGTGAACAAAGTCAAGTTAATAGTGAAGAAATTGAACGAAAAAAATTGGGTGAAATGAATGACAGAGTTAATGAAGCTTCCTCTGATAGTGATCATGGAAACAAAGATCGTGAAAATGGTCATAGTGATGCAAAAATGGGGAAATATTTATCTTCCCCTAGAATCTCCCCTCGAGGGAAAGGGATTCCTCGGATTGAAATTGAGGATGAAAATGGGGAATTGATTTATCCGAAATCAGGCCAGAAAATTCCCCATGAAGTTGAAGGAGTGAACGACCATATGGAGGTGTATGGAACTCCTTCAAGCCATATGGGGAGCACATATGGAACTCCCCAGGGGAGGAGCCCTCATATGAGGCTGAGGGCTCGCAGCGGCAGTGGGGAAAGCTTCCTCTCTGGGGACGAGGACTTCGACACTCCCCTCGCCGTCAGGCTCTATACCAGGTCAGGGGTTGTAAATGTAACTTGTTAACTCGGTAAATATATTATTATAGTAATATATTATTTTAAAAATATTATTATATTAATATGTTATTTAATTAACATATTATTATAATATGGTACATCTCAATCTTAGTTACCATAAATGACTGGCGTTTGGAGGTATGATAAATGCCCCTTGTAATCATTCCAATTATTATAGATTATATTATATAATTAAGTATAATAATAAATTCTATATTATATTGTCAACACCAAATGTGAGTAATTGCCTCCAGTGAGTCATTACCTATAACGGAGGTAATGTCCTTATTTGGGAAATTATCTATGGGGGATAATTTCATCATTAGGCGTAATTATGTATAAAGATTAATTAATTACCTATTAGAGTAATTAGTTTAAAAGCCACGTTCTGCCTCTCACTTTGGAAATTTCGTAGGCCTGCGAAATGTTATTTTTTCTGATGAAATTTTTGGCCGCAGGTTGGCGGCCAAGAGAACGCAAGGCAGCCTCGGCTGTTCCCCAGCCTTGGGGAGATCAATCAAGGGGAACAACATCCCCGTGGCGGGGAGAAGGTCCTCCTCTGATATTGAGAGCCCCCCTGAACCCAAGACCTTAGCCCCGACTGCTGGGGTTGATAAGGCAACAGCCCCAACGGGTGGGGTTGATAAGGCAACAGCCCCAACTGGTGGGGTTTATAAAGTATTAGCCCCAACTGCTGGGGTTGATAAGGCAACAGCCCCAACTGCTGGGGTTGATAAAGTATCAGCCCCAACTGGTGGGGTTGATAAGGTATCAGCCTCAACTGGTGGGGTTGATAAGGCAACAGCCCCAACTGCTGGGGTTGATAAGGCAACAGCCCCAACGGGTGGGGTTGATGCCGGGCTTGAAAGTGTGGGGAATGGGGATGTGGGGTTTTGTGGACCTACCACTGGGGATTCGAATCCTTCCATTGCGGGCTCAAATCCCACGGTTCGGGGTTCAGCTTCTCCCGTTTGGGGTTCGAAACCTTACGTTGAACGTGCTAAATCTACCGATAGGGGTTCAAATCCTGCCATTATGGGTTCAGAACATCCCAGTGGGGGTTCAAACCCCGGCAAACATTCGACCGAACCCACCCATACATTTACCAAGAATGAAACTCGCCGAAAAGTTGCGCAGAAATTCGATAATTTTTCTGCAGAAGACGATGCAATCAATCGTGGCAAACGCAACTCTGTGCGGTTCAAAGACACGAATCATGTGACTAAAAGGAAGAGAAATTACCACCGTAGTGATGAAAAAGAAGATATTTTACAAGGTAAAAATAATGATGTTTTACCGAGGTCGGGACGTGTGGTTAATAACAAAGATTACCGCAACCAAGCTCTAGAGTCAACGGCTTTAACCGGTTGTGGTGACGCGGTTGTTGATGATATTGGTGGTGAGATCAGCAGCATTTCTGGTGTTGGTGATGAAAATGGTGAAAATGTTGGTGGTGTTGATGGAAGTGTTTGTGGTTCGTCTCCGGGAGTCAAGAAAAATAATTTTTTCAAGTTTCCAAGAAGGAGTCAGAGACTGAGCTCTGCCCTGAGTCTTGAATCTGGCGACAGCGACGTGTTTTATGACGTTAGTATTGTTGATGTACATGCAAATAACGTTGAAAACATTGACGAACATGGAAATAACGTTGAAAATAGCGACGTTGACAACAGTACCAACGTCTTGGACAATATCAGCATTGTCGACATTCAGGCTCGTGATGTTGAACATGTTGATATTAGTGAAGTTCCTGGAAAAATGTTGATGCTTGTTGATAACGCATCGAAAAATGTACCAGATTTTCCAGCCTCTGCGGATCTCAAGGCAACGGAATCCGAAGGGAAAAATTTTGTCGGTTCACGTAAAAAAAGACGTGTTTTAATGACAGAAAATTCAGACGTAGAGCCTGACCTCATCATCCCCATGACGCCTCCCCACCGAGGGGGGCTCACTTCCCCTCGCCGGGGGCCCACTTTATACGATGAACTCTTGAGCCAGAAACTGAACCCCCGGGTCCCCTCACAGCGATCTGCCATTAAAGCCATGGGGATTAAGGGGGATGAACCCTTGCCCTTGCCGTGTTCAACTTCAAAAAAATTCATACGTGGGCCACTTTTTAAGACGCAGAAGAAAAATATTTCGACTCTTGCTGCAGTAAATGAATGTGGGTCATCGAAAATTTCGACTCTTGGGGGACAAATTTTGAATTTTAACGGGAAAAGTTTGCCGGAAGAAAATAATTCTGAACATGAAACGCTTGATGAAACTTGGGATAGCAGCATTCTGGCTTTCGAGACGCCCAACAGACGTTACCGAAACGCATCGAGTTCTAGAACTATTAGTTCTAGAAGCTCTAGAGCAACAGATCTGAATTCCGCTAATTCTAGATCTCCTAGTGGAGCTCGAAAAGATTCTAGGACCGTGTCTTCTAGAGGAAAAATTTCTCTACGTCAAGGAACGAAGTCATCTAGAGTTTCATCCGATGGACGTTCTAGTGTAACTAGCAATGCTTCTACTAGGAGGAAATCTAGTTCTTCTTCAGCTGCTGGTTCTTCAGGAAAGAAACAAGGTTCTCTTAAAGCGACAGCAAAAGGTTCTGTGAAAAAGGTCGTCGGTTCTGTGGAACAAGCGTCCAGTTCTTGCCAATCAAAAGGCAATAAAAGAACTTCTGGTGGGGGATGTACCACTTCACCACCTGGGGGTGTGGTGGTGGATAGAACTGCTGGTTCTGCTGGTTCTAAATCAAAGAAAATTTCTCCTAAAGGACAAACCAAAATGAAAACTCGAAATACTACTAAAAAACCATCCCGGAAAGGATCCAAGAAAAAGACCAAGTCTTCAGGGAAGTCGGAGGAGGAGGAAGACAAGCCCAACATAGTCTTCACGAGTCTGCACACGAGGTCAGTCTGCTGTCAATGTACACTCAGGGGAATGTGTGGCGCTTTGACCATATAGCGATGCACTTCATGTCCTTTGTGTGGGTCATCCTGACACAGTTTCGCCCGACGAAAAAGACTTGTTAGAGCCAATCTCAGTTCACGTTGTTTGTAGGTGTCACTTTTTTGGACAATTTGATTCATTAATTTTACTGATTGTACTTACATTTCTTTTATATTGAATATTATTCAATATAATTAGGTATATTATTGTTGATTATTGAATGATGATGATGAGAATTGCTGAATGTAAATGAATTATCTACTAAACAATATTTTCCTCATTTATAAATAACTTGTTTATTTATTAAAATTGCTAGGACCCTTTTTGTCCCAATATCGATGCAGTTTCCCCTTTATATGGGTCATCCTGACTGAGGAAGACAAGCCCAACATAGTCTTCACGAGTCTGCATACGAGGTCAGTCTGCAGTGGATGTACAGTCAGGGGAATGTGTGGCACTTTGTCCATATTGCTAAGCATCATTTGCCTTTGTGTGGTGCACTTCATGCTCTTATGTGGGTCATCCTGACCCAGTTTGGTGCGACCCCAGGGCGTGTTAGAGCCATTCTCTGCTCACGTTGTGTGTAAGAAGGTGTCACATTTTTGGACAATTTGACTAATTTATTTTACTGATTGTCTTTTATATTGAATACTGATTGTTGATTTTTACTGATCGTTTCTTTTATATTGGATATTATTCGATATATTTATATTATTGTGGATAATTGTATGTTGACTTGAAGGTACCTATACATGATGAATATTGATGAACGTAAATGAATTTTTCACTAAACAATCTTTTCCTCATTTATAAATAACTTGTTTATTTATTAAAATTGCTAGGACCCTTTTAGTCCCAATATCGATGCAGTTTCCCCTTTATATGGGTCATCCTGACCCAGTTTGGCCCTTCAATAAGGTTGTTTCAGAGCTACTTGCAGAAAGTGCGTCACAATTTAGACAATACGATACAATTTTTTATGAGTGTATGGCACACCAAAACTCAGCTTGTGCATTAACGGGTCATCCTGACCCACTTTCGCCCAGCTATAACCCGGCGTATCTGTGCTACGTGTAAGATGCACGTCACAATACAGACAATACACCCACACACTTGTTTGAGTGCAGGGACACGGAGGTACTGCACCCAATAGTGCTGCAGTTGGGGGGCTACCCCGTGGCCCCCCGTGTCACCCGTGACACCGTGACGCTGGTCGCGGGTGACATCACCCGTCGTACCGTCAACATGTTGCTGGCCTGTCTGCGGGGCGTGCCTGTCGTCACAGACAGATGGGTGTACGAGTCCCTGTCTGGGGGAGACTGGGCGCCCATAGACGGGTACATGGTCCCGTCTGAAGGCTGGCCTGTCATCCAGGTTAGTGACTGTTGCTTTTTTGTGTATTTTTTTTTTTTAATTTATGTAGGACCGTTTTTTTTTGTTATCGTGTTTTTTTTCTTAATATATTTAGGACTGTTTTTTTGTTAATTTTATATTGATTCATATATGACCGTTGTTTTTTTTCGTTATTTTTTATAAATTTATTTGGGACCGTTGTTTTTTATTATTATTTGTTTAGGACCGTTCTTTGTTCTAGTTATTTTACATTTATTTTTTATTTTTTTTTTATACCGTTAGTTCTGTGATTATTTTATATTTGTTTTTTTTTATCATTTTTGAGTATTTCTCATTTATTTGTTGTTTGTAACGCCTTTTTTTGTTAGGTTTTCTTAGTGATTGTTGTTTTTTTTTGCTTTTATTTTACATTTATATTGTTATTTTATGATTATTTTCTATTTATTTATTGTTTTTAAAGGCTTTTGCCCTTTTTTATGAATGCTTTCTTGTCGCTTTTAATTTTTCTCGTGTCTTTGGGCAGCTGTTGTTTTCATGTTTATCTATTACTGTTTATTAATAAATTTTATTAAGCTATTTGTTACTGCCTCTCCACTCCTCCATCCCTGCCTCTCCACTCCTCCATCCCTGCCTCTCCACTCCTCCATCCCTGGCTGTACGTGTATTCCTCTGCTTGTCATACAGCTTCTTGTGTGGGTTTACCGAGCTTGTGTGTCACACAGGGCGTCAGGGGCTGTATGTTGCGGGGCAAGGCTGTGTCGCTGTTACAACACATCGGCTGTGTGTTCATACATCCTCACACAGCGCCACCCCCTGCTGATATACAGGTGTGTTAATAGCTTAATACTGACTTGCATTCAATCTCTTTTTCATTTGGCCTTCAAAATGGCAGGATTTGAGTCCTTTGAGACGCGTCCTCCTGCGCCGTGCGTCGCCCGACGGGTTAAACCAAAGTCCCAGCGACAACACGCGTCTTAAAAGCAAGATGGCGGCGTCGGAGTCTTCTAATTCCAAGATGGCGGCGTCGCAGTCTTCTAATTCAAAGATGGCTGCCCCCAGGTCTTCTAATTTCAAGATGGCGTCGCATGAGTCTTCTAATCCTAAGATGGCGGCGTCGGAGTCTTCTAATTCCAAGATGGCGGCGTTGGAGTCTTCTAATTCTAAGATGGCGGCGCCGGAATCTCAAAATAATGTCGATAGCACCAAAATAAAGAACCATTTCGTTGGATTTCCGGCCCAATTTCGACTTGACGGGAAAATTTTACATGAAATAATCCGTGCAACGAAACTAACGGAAGATGATGATGGCGATGGTGTTAATGCTGATGAAAATAATGTGGGGAATGGTAGTGGGGGAACTAGTGATATTTTTAATGGTGATGCTGGTAACAAAGAAACTATTACTACAAGTAGTAAAGACAGTAACAGTAACATCATAGTTAACGGGATTGTTGACGGAACCAAAAGCAGTATTAGTAACAGTAACAACAGTAGCATCGGTAATGGTGTCTGTAATGGTATCAGTAACGGTACCAGTGATGGTATCAGCGAGTTACTCAACCGAGATACCGAGGCGCTGAGTACCATAAGCGACGGTAGCTTACCATTCAACGCCGCCCTAGACGATACGGTAATCCTAGATCCTGGTAACTTGGATACCAGTCCTGTTACTAGATGTGGGTCTGTTACTAGATGTGGATCTGTTACTAGATGCGGATCTGTTACCAGTAACGGCTGCAAACAGACGGCAGGTCTGTTGGGTGTTCGGTGCTGCAGTTCAATGTCTGTTGACTACGCTTCAAGTGGAAAATGTTCAACAGCAGTTCCTGTTAACAGCAACGGCATCAACCATCGCTATTCATCATCCGTTGATGCCTCTGTTAACAGAAACGAAAAAGCTTCTGTTAAACGTCGTCCACTGGATGCCATAATCGAAGACGTCGAAAACAGCAACCGAACAGACGAGGGTTCAGTGGTTAACAGACGTTGTTGTGGTGAAACAGGTGATGACTGTTGCAATGGTGGTTGTAACCAACCACAGTTAAGCACCTTGGTTGTGGTGCACGAGAAATGGTTGCTGGACAGTATTCAGTTCTACCAGGTGCAACCATACCAGAACTACCAAGTGGCCGGTGTTGAAGAACTCAAGCGCAGCCTCTACCAAGAAATTCAGCATAATTTAAATTAAAACTTTAGCGTAAACCAACCAAAAAAATGCGATCAAAATAATAATAAATTTGCTTTAAAACAAGCAATTTTGATTACAAGAAACAACCAAGAATTTTGATTATTAGAACAAAGAATTTTGATTGTAAGAAGCGAGAACTTTGAACAAACAAAACTAAGGCCTTAGCTTGAAACAAACAAGAATTCAGATCAAAATAACCAATAATAAATTATTGAGCTTAAAGTAGCGTTAGAATAACCATGACTTTTCATCTATTATTTATGATGTTGATATTTAAAATGTGATCAGTGAAAGTCATGCCTGGTAATTTAGTTTGTTATAATATTTTAAAGCTCGCCTGAAGTACCCCCACAAGGTCGGCTGGTAACCTTAATTATTTCTTCTTTTCACCAAGGCCGCCGCACAGCATCCATGCTCCTCACTTTTTTACAATTAATGATCTTCATTCCACATTTTACAAGGGTCTTCATTTATTTTTTTACAATAATCTTCATTTAATTTTTTTATAATGGTCTTTATTTCATTTTTTACAAGGGTCTTCATTTCATTTTTTACAAGGGTCTTCATTTCATTTTTTACAAGGGACTTTATTTCATATTTTACCTGAAGCGATCTTCTTTTTCATAAAAATACGATTTTTCCGATGTGTTTGTAGGTTCCACTTTTCCCATCCTGGCAGTCACCGGAATATTATTTGTGTCAATATTTTTCACTTGCATTAATGTCGAAGTTTTTAGCGCATTTTCTCATTTATGAAAAAAATGCACTATTGTGCTCGCCGTGTCCGTCTGTCCGTCCGTCCGTCCGTGACTTCAAGTTTACGTCGACGAGAAAATGCGCTCTCTGTCACTCACTGCAGTGAGTACGGAGTCATATTTTTTTATACTCCTGAACCGTTCAACGAATCCATAAAAATACGTTATTTTTCTCACTTTTTATGGTTTTTACTATTTTCATCATAGATGACACTGGAATATTAATAATTATGGAATTAATATCAATAAATTAATTATTTAGTTAATATTACGCGAGTTATTAATATGAAATAATAATAACTCGTTTGAAGCGATTGAACAGCGAAATACATTCGTTCTATTATTATTTTTCATAAGTATTAATTACTTGAAATTTATACCAATCTAATATTTTTTACTGATAAAAAATAAAATATTACTTGATACTTTAAAAATTAAATATTACCTAATATTTTATTTTTTAACAGTAACAAACAAGTGGTTAAGCAGCCCGTGCAGGAAGCCTGGCATGCGTGTGGGCAGGCGACCTTTACCCGCCATAATAATCTTTGTTATTATCTTTATTTTTAGGTTTTCTTCAGCACCGCAAAAACCAATGCAGAAAAGGGGTAAATGCAAGGGTTGTGATAACCGCCATGTTTTTCGCAGAGTACCTTTTCAGTACAGCAATTTACCCCAAAATGAGGTAAATTTCAGGAAGCTGGGAGTAAATTACCCTAAACTGGGGTTGAATTACCCCGAACTGGGGTAAATTACTTCGAATTGGGTATAAATTACCCTAAACTGGAGTGAATTACCCCAGATTTGGGTAAATTACCCTAAATTGGAGTCAATTACCCTAAACAGGATAAATACAACAAACGGGGGTAAAATACCAAGTGTGGGAGACGAGTAGATCTATTTTTTGGTTAATTGATGGTGAAATATCTTAGTTAATAATTCAGATTATTGATATAGATTAATTTCAATACAATTATAGGTAACATTTTTATAGTGAAATGTTGAATGGACAGGTGGACACGCTGGTGGTGGGGGGATGGACAGGTGGACACGCTGGTGGTGGGGGGATGGACAGGTGGACACGCTGGTGGTGGGGGATGAACAGGTGGACACGCTGCTGGTGGTGGGGGATGGACAGGTGGACACGCTGGTGGTGGGGGATGGACAGGTGGACACGCTGGTGGTGGGGGATGGACAGGTGGACACGCTGGTGGTGGTGAGGGGATGGACAGGTGGACACGATGGTGGTGGTGGGGGGATGGACAGATGGACACGATGGTGGTGGGATGGACAGGTGGACTCGATGGTGGTGGGGGGATGGACAGATTGACACGATGGTGGTGGGATGGACAGGTGGACACGATGGTGGGGGGATGGACAGGTGGACACGCTGGTGGTGGGGGGATGGACAGGTGGACACGCTGGTGGATGGAGATGGACAGGTGGACACTTTAGGGTCTAGAAGGATGGTCAGACATGCTGGAAAGATGGTCAGGTGGCAGACATGTTGAAGGACACGCTGGCCGTAAGGCGGATGGACATACAAAGGTCAAAGGATGGACCGAAAGGTCAGGCTCGGGCAGGGAAGAAGTGCGCGCTGTTCGGCGGACAAAAAAATTAATACGCGGCCATGCGGCGGACGAACGAAGGACAACAGGCGGCATCTGCTGGCTTGTCCAGCGAGTCAAGTTGACTAACAACATTTTTTATTTAATTTTATAAACATTCTATATTATTTCAAATTCAATTTAAATCGATTTAATTATGAATTTAATTGAGATTTTCTTTTAAATTGAAGTAATTTTAATTACTTTGATTAAATATATAAACAATTTAGTTGCAATTGTCTTATCATTAGCTCAAATTAAATAGAATTCTTCCGTTAGCGACATAATTAAAGTTTAAATCAATTGCGGTAAACGCATACAACTCAACGGTTTAATAAGGTTGAATAATAATCAGTTTGATCGTAGGCATTCCTATCACAGCTGACATTTAAAAAATGCGTTAAAAAAACTATATACGAATAATACAAAATTTATCTGGGTAAAATTTATTGAATATGCATAGCAATAAGATAAAAATACGGGTAGCAAACTGATCTAAAAAGGTTAACGGAACGATCAATGTAAAGATAACAACCAACGTAGGAAAACATGAGTGATAAATTCTTCTCAAGGCTCGAGACTTCGACATTTCAATAAATTTAAAATGAATTGAATCCAATTTATATTCAATCTTCAGATCTGTATAATTGCATGGGCGCTACCCATGAGGCAGTTTGAGGAAGCGAAATGATGCCAAAATTTAGCGGAAACCCCTGAGCAGAACAATAAAAAAAAGGTGGGTATTTGTGGCACGTATAGATCGGCGGCAGCGTCGACATGCCCCTACTTGAAAGGTCAGGGGTGCACTGGCGGCCCACGGCGCCGGACACGACTTTTAAAGCGTCAACAAATGCTACAACGGTAAACATTTTCATGCGAATAAATCACATGCTTAATAAATGTCAATAACAAATGCTACAACCGTAAACATTTTAATGCAATAAATCAAATATTTAACAAATGTCAATAACAAATGCTCTATTGGTAAAGATTTTCCTAAGAATAAATCACACGCTTAATAAATGTCATTAACAAATGCTACAATGGTAAACATTTTCATGCAAATAAAGGGGATAAAAGAAATGTTTGGGGAGACCGAAAAAACGTAAAGGGGAGACCGAAGTCGCTGCTAAAAATACTTTATATAACAAATAAAATTTTAAAAATTACTTAGAATATACAAGCATTGCTGCTAAATTTAACCTTATTTGATAGAAAATCAGCAAATTGAGAAACTGACCGATATTAACGCTTACCTTAACTAAATGCTAGAGTGAAATCAAATCATTATTTCGTAATTAATTGATATTATTCTTTTTTAATGATTTATTAAATGCTCTAATGCTCAAGATTTCTTTAATGATAAAAGATATATCCAGCTTTAGAAAAAAATTTTTTTTAATAGATAGATAAATCTTTAATAGAAAATAAATCTTTAAATCTTAAAATCTAGTAGATAGATTGATAAATGAGATAATACATGCATAGAAATATTATTAAAAACATTGATAATTTTCTTTCAAACATAAATAAAAATTTTGAAGTAAAACATGTGCCTAACCTCGAATTCGTGGCTGTTCTGTGTAGTGAATTTGTGAATTAAAAGATATATTCGCAATTCGTGTTCGTGACGCACAATGCTGCGTGGGCCCTTAATTCGTATTCGTGACGCACGATCCCACGTACGCAATTTCGTACGCATAATTCAGCAGAACGCAAAAAAAATCTCTACCCAAACCCGTTATTTAACGGAACACCCAAGCTGTGCGGCAACCGGCAAAGAGCGGACCAATCATTCCAAAAAAGGCCAACCATTTAAAAAAAAGCCAATTCTCGGAAAAAAAGGCCAATCATTTAAAAAAAACGTTTGCTTGCCATTAAATTGGAGGCAATTGAGCAATTGCGTCTTGAAGGACGTTTATAAATTACAGGTGTTTTGATATGATGAGAGTATATTGGATTATTGTCTTGATGATATCTGAACGTTTGGGGGCGATGGTAAAATAGAAGATTTAATGGAAATGTGTATGCCACACACGTATAGATGGCATTTGCCACACACGTATAGATGGCATATGCCACACACGTATAGATGGCATATGCCACACACGTATAGATGGCATATGCAACACACGTATAGATGGCATATGCCACACACAAGAAGCCAGCCACGTAATTCACACATTTGAACATTATACATACACATACAGCCCTGTATGACCTACACATCTGAATATTATACATACACATACAGCCGTGTATGACCTACACAGGCCTCTTCCTTGTTTGTTTTTGACATTTGAGTTAGGCCGCGCCTGCCTCGCTGTGTAAACTATGTACACAGCGCGTAGCTTGGCTGTACCCACACAGGGGCTGTGTTATGTATTCAAATGGGCGGCACCTTCGACTGTATATTTTCCTTGTGTCACTGTATATTTATCATAGGCCATTGCATATTTTACTACATCAACCCCTGCATGTATATTATACAAATGGCATTGTATATTTTCCTTGTGTTACTATTTTTTCCACATGCCACTGTATATTTACCATACGTCACTCGTAACTTCTACTGTGTATTGTATAATGCAATAAATTCCACTGTGCATCACCATGCATTACCATGTAAATGTTGATAACACATCAAATTTACTACCATCGTGCGATGAATTATCTCGAGATAATTCACATTCATGATTTTCAACACGAATTCATTATTCAGAAATAATAAAACTTATCGTAATCAATCGACACTCATGGACATGTGTGGGTAAAAAAATCCGACGCGTCCAATGTCTTCGCGCCAGCAGCTGCATTTTCCTTTTAAAAAATCTTGAATTTTAAATGTCAGGCTGGCGTTAAAATTATATTATATTAACTTATAGGCTTTTCACGAACGGTTTTTGTCTACCAATTTTATTTTTAAAATTAAATTTTGTTGTCTTTAACTTATTGTTGTAATCAACTTAATTCATTGTAATTTAATTAAGTAATTAATTTAAAAGAGTGGGTGCAGTTTAAAAAAAGCTGATTATTACACTCAGAAAAGTAATCGAAACTTGTCCAAATAACGATGCATCTATAGCCTTCTGTGGGCCATTCTGACCAATTAGGCTCGGCGGCAACGAGGCGTATCAGAGCTACGAGCAAAAAATGTGTCACTATTTAGACAACATAACCCAGTCCATTATCTGTGTGTACATAGACCGAAATTGGGTAATTGGGGTAAAAATATACGCAATTGCCTCATTAGCCGACAAACCACCGTCAAATTCAAGCAAAAATACCCAAGTCTCTTATATTTATACCCGGAAAATCATCTTCAAGCCACCGAAAAATGTCAAATCAATTACAATGCGCATTAAATGCAGCTTGAAAAAGGCAACACTCACATTTAATTTGAAATTCCTTCAGGAGGCAAAAAATAAAAATCGAAGCGAAGATTTCTGGTCCGCATCTGATAACATTAATGCGTTAAAGATGCACAGCGAAGCCAGTTAAGGTCATCCGAACGCAAAAAAATATTTGCCATATTAAGTGGTTGCCTTCACCTTCAGTTGGGCTGCGGCCACCGGCAAGGGAGGGTGTGTTGCGCGCTGGCGAGCTATCTTCATGACAGAAAAATTATGCATGGTCCAGGAAAATGAAGCATGCTTCAGATGCACGCTACATTCACGGATTTTAATTTAATTAATAAATAATAAGAATTTAGTTAATGCGCACTACTCCAGTTGCAGCATGCGGCGCCTGTTGCTCAGAGGCATACGAAAGCAAATCAATATTATTGTTACTCATAAAAAATACTGGTAATATTGACAATGAAGTCACATATAATGTATCTATATCATATATAAGTTTAAAAATATTCATTATTTTCGGTAATCATACGTAAACCTAAATAACGACGGAGGAACATCAATGGAGATGAGGATTGAAATAGAAAACATAAACATAACATAGCATATTGATCTCGGCGCTGAAGCGTAGGCCTGATGTGGCCTGTCGCCGATTCTTTTCCTTTTCGTGCCTTGTTCACAGAAGATTTAATATCGTTTCGTTTGACCGGATCTTTACAAGGCAGGAAAATGCCAATTATGAAAAAAACATGAACAACATCGCCATCAGCAACATTGCAACATAAACAGCAACATCCCAACATCAACATCATAAGCAATAACCAAGTCAGCAACAACCATCGCCCTCCTCATCCCCTCACCTTAACCCCCTCCTCATCCCCCACCTCCCCCCTAATAACCAAATTATAAACAACCTTACCCCCCCCCTCTCCTGGGTCGCCCTCCCCCCACTCCAACACCCCCATGGGTGGGAGGGTGCAGGGGGGGAGGCGACCTTTGCAGTTCGTTACTGCGACAGGACTGCCGAATTCCTGCGCCTCCTGCAGCGTCCTTCGTCGCCAGCAGGAGGGGCTCCTATGGTGGCCTGCAGTAAAGTTCCTATGGTCATATAAATAAATTTATTTCCTTATGTATTTATTATTCCTGTAAATAAAGAACGTAAAAGTCGCCACTGCACTATAGCTGCCACTCTACAACAATGGCGCTATTTAGCAAGAAATAAAGTTAAAATTATTGCATTAATTTCAAAGTGTAGGAAATTCAATAAAAACTTTTTAATGCTTGAAAAAAATACTTCTAATCATGATCAAGTGGAAAACAAGATTTCCAAAATTGTTTGATATTATTAAAAAATTCTCTAGTCAGCGAAAGTGACTAAAATTTTTTTAACAGTGTAAATGTACCGAAAAAATTTATAACTGTATGGATGTTACCAGGAAAAAGTAACAAATTTTATTGCAGGCATGACTTGCCCGTGAAAAATTTAGGACATCAAAGAATATTTTTATGCGAATTTTTGCATGGATAGAGACAAAGAAAAAAAATTATTTACTAGCGAAACCCAAGATGATTTTAAATGTAATATGCATGATTGATTTGACAAATATATATAGATGAATAAATCTTGTTTTCGGACCTGAATTGGAGTTTGGATTCAAATGTAGTCACAAAAAAGTATTATATATCATATCAGTATAGAAAGTGTCGATTAAAAAAAGCTATTTTAAAAGTAGCTGGTTAAAATCAATTTTTAATAAAATTCAAGTGTAAACAAATTAATGAAATATGATTTAATTTTTGAAATATTGAATGCCATAGAAACAGGATGCTGGCTGAAATACCTGTTCTGAAACACCTCATTGTAATAATTATATTCAATCATTTCAAACCATACGCTTCAAGCAAGACGGATATACCCGTTGAGATCAGAATCCCTAGGCATCCTAACCTATGGTATTTGACACAGGAATGTTTTTAATCGATTTAAGGGTACGCGCTTGGTATTTACCGAAGCAAAGGATCTCCACAAGCGGGCAACCTGCAAAAAGTTCATTTTGGGCGGCGCGGCTCGGCGGGTATATAAGGAAGTGCGCGCTGACCGCCAGGGTCAGTCTGCCGAGCGCAGATGCCAAAGTAGGTTCAGTGCGGCACGAGCTTCCAGTCAAGATGAAGACGAACGTGGTAGGTGCTTATTTTTTATGAATGCAAGGAATATATTATTTTATGAAGAAAACTGATATGAAAATATAATGAAACTTTAGATATGAATAACTATGCTAGTTTTAAATAGACGAGCAATGAGAACAATTGTTCAGCTAGAACTTTTTTGATTTTCACTTAGTTCAACGGGAAAAAAAAATTCCGTTAATATCTTACTAATATGAAATTTAGTTCATTCATTATTAGGGCAATAGTAAATGTTATTCTCAGCATTATAAATGAACTAGTCTAAACTAAGAAGAATGAAGATGTCATTCTCCAAATATTGACATGCTTTCACACATTTTTGACACATTTTTTGCCGAGCCAAACTGGGTCTGTGTGACCCACATAAGAGCAAAATGTGCATCCCAGTTTAGACAAAGGTCCGCACATTTCTCTGAGTATATGCACGAGTTTCTGCTCAATTACTATGAGCATGCAGCCGAATTACACGGTAAAAACATGTTATGCAAAAATTACAGTTACCTCGTTAGTCTAGAATCAGAAAAAATATAACTCAGTACTCACTGCAGTGAGTGACAGAGAGCGCATTTTCTCGTCCGTCCGACCGTGAAGTCACGGATAGACAGACAGACGGAAGGACATGACGAGCACAGTAGAGCATTTTTTCATATATGAGAAAATGGGCTAAAAAGGTTCATATTGTCCAAATATTGACCCACTTTCATAACCACATCACGAGCAGAGAGCGGACGTAGCACTGGTACGCCCTTCTGTCGGGCTAAACTGGGTCAGGATGACCCACACGAAGGCAATAAGAGCATCGTTTTCTGGAAAAAGTCTCACTCATTTATCTAAGTGCATCGACTTGACTGCTTTGAATACTAACTTTTAATGCATACTTATTAATTTAAAAATTATTTCCCGTGTGCAGGTATTGACAGCAGTTTGCTGTCTAGCGATTGGTGCGAGCGTGTCGGCGCTGCCGACAGCTCTTAACAGATTCGGACTACCCGTTCACTTCTCATACCGCACTGTCCACACGCCCGCCATTTTCTCACAACATTTCACCCCGGTTGCTCCAACAGCTAGGATAAACATACCTAGCCACGTCCCTGTCATGGTCCCAGTGTCCCAGGACTTCGTCGGGGACTCCGTTGTGGTCACGCAAGAAGGTCTGTCCAAGCTGGGACTTACGAACCCAGTAGGGTCGGACCAGACGATCGGGTCCTCGGCAACGCAGGTTCAGGATACCGTCGTGCCTGCTAGTGAAAACGAAGTAGCATCCTCTACTGGGCCTCTATCAGCCGCGGATGAGTCCTTCGTTTTGACTGCCACACCGGAAACTCCAGTGACAGCTGCTGAAAGGGTAGTTGAAAACGTTGCAATTCCAACAGTACAACCAGTCCAAGTAGTACAACCAGTACCAGTCGGACCAATTTCACCGTTCGCGACAGAGACGTACAAAGCGTACGACCAATTCATCAACACGTGGCTGAGACTCGCATCCATCAATCTGAACAGACCTGATATCCTTAATCTCATTACACCCCAGCAACAGGCAGTTCAAAACAGGAATTCGGAATCTCAAGTTCAACCTGCTAATCAGGTAAGGGCTGAAGTACCCATTGAATCTGCAAAGCCTGTTGAAGTTGCACAAGAAGTGCAGGTTGAAAGTGTTACGGTGAAAGAAAGTTTACCCGCCGTAACAGAACCGTCCTACCAAGAGGAAATTACGACACAAACTATAACAGAGGAATCCACCCCTGTTGTCGAAGTTGCCAAAGAGGTATCACCAGAAATTGTCATCATCTCGCAGGAACCAAGTGTTGCCGCGCAACCAACAGCTGTGGTATCAGAACCAGCTGTGGTATCTGAACCAGCTGCTGAAACAGTTGGTACGCAGTCATTTGGAGTAGATAATTCAGAAAATGAAATTCAAACAACCTCACTTGCATCGCCTCGCCTAACCTCCCGAGGTAGACTGTCAGGATTCCGTTACAGCTTCTCCCACATACCGCAGCGGGGAGCGTTCTTCTTCAATTCCATCGCGGGATAAACTAAGGCTCCTAAAATTTTAGTCTCTGTGTAAATTTGTTACATTATATTGTATAATTTGTATAAGATATTAGATATACACCCACACATGTGTGGATTGATGGTCAGATGGCGATGTCCATAGCGTTACGTTAGTGATAAGTTGTACGTAAATTCCAGACTGGTATGGTTACCATTGCATATTAATAAAATGTATTCTCATGACGCAATAAACGTTTAATTGACGTCCTAAATTCTGAATTCATTTGGAAAATCCATTTACTAAAATGAGATAAGATAATAAAATTAGGAAAGCGTTTAATTGTACATAATTGTCTAGCAACAGCTCCAATTATATGTAAAAAATATATGGAAGTTAATAAAAATTCTTCAATGTTAATTGATGTCCCAGAAATATATTTGTATAAATCTAAATAATCTCCCGGCAACAAAAACGTATTACGTATGAAAATATACGCTGTCACGAGAAGCGTGTAATTCTACCCCAATCTGAAGAACATATCTACCGTTCTAGAGGTAGACAACACCTCTACCGTTCTAGAGGTAGACAACACCTCTACCGTTCTAGAGGTAGACAACAACTCTACCGTTCTAGAGGTAGACAACAACTCTACCGTTCTAGAGGTAGACAACAACTCTACCGTTCTAGAGGTAGACAACACTACCGTTCTAGAGGTAGATCGTAGAAAACACCTCTACCGTTCTAGAGGTAGACAACTCTACCGTTCTAGAGGTAGACATTTTTAACGCCTTCAACGCAGGTGAAAGTCTACCCATATAAGTAGAACGGAGTAGATGAAGTAACGTAACAACTCACTAACAACGGCCGCTGTCTTCCAAGCTAAAGTTTTTCCATTTTCATGATAAATTATAATTCAAAATGTTGTTTGTAATTAGTTGGATAAATTCAAGACTTTCTTATCTTTCATATGAAAAATTATAAAATAATTATGTAATTGTAATTACCGCGCAAAGAATTACTTTGCGATTTTTCGTTTAAAATTTCCAGAGAATTTTTCAAATCCGAAATTCCAATTCCAAGTTTTAAATAATTTTTTTCTAAATTATAGAATAATTTCAAATGAATTTTTTCAAATTTTAAATTAATTTTAAATCGTAATATCGTAATAATAAACAAATGTAAGGGTATGAGAGATGAATACCCAATAAAATAAATAACACTGAGCAGGTTAATAAAACATTCATAAGCATTAAACATTATAATCCTCATAGCTTGTATGTATCTAATTTAGATACAAAATACATTTAAATGAGTATTATCCTCTGAGTATTTAAGCGCATACATTCTTAATTCCTTTAAAAGAGTACCGTTGCTTTCAGAGTCAAAGAACATATAAACCAAAATTGACTACAACACTCACAGAAAAAAGAGTGAGAAATTGTCCCAATATCGAAGCACTTTTTGTTTAAGAAAACTACGTTTTTATATCGAAGAGCGGACGTAGCACTGATACGCCCTTAGGCCGGACCAAACTGGGTCAGGATGACCCACACAAGAGGAAAAAAACATCGTTATTTGGACAAAATCTCACGTATTCTTCTGAGTGACACGCCACGTTTCCTTTCGTGAAAAATTTTTGTAATCAGTTTTTTTAAACTGAAGTTACGTTGATGAAATTCTCTGCACTATTTAAGCAACACTTCCACTGTAATAAAAAAGATAGACAACATAAAATGGAACTAAATTAATAATGAATAGATGAAGACTAGTGAGCACTGACCATCACTATTATCTCAGCGTCATGCAACAACATGAAATAAAAATTTATTTCACGCAAGTACGTAAAATAAAACATAACATTTTCCTTTCGAAGACAGAACATTTTATTAGTTGTTAGTCTGGCCATCACCAGCTTCAGGCAGATGGCCATCACCAGCTTCAGGCAGATGGCCATCACCAGCTTCAGGCAGATGGTCAGCTTTAGGCAGATGGCCATCACCAGCTTCAGGCAGATGGCCATCCTCAGCTTCAGGCAGATGGCCATCATTAGCTTCAGGCAGATGGCCATCCTCAGCTTCAGGCAGATGACCATCACCAGCTTCAGGCAGATGGCCATCCTCAGCTTCAGACAGATGGCCATCACCAGCTTCAGGCAGATGGCCATCACCAGCTTCAGACAGATGGCCATCTTCAGCTTCAGGCAGATGGCCATCCTCAGCTTCAGGCAGATGGCCATCCTCAGCTTNCCCAAGCTCTTGCGCTTCAACTCAGCAGCACCCAAGCTCTTGCGCTTCAATTCAGCAGCACCCAAGCTCTTGCGCTTCAATTCAACAGCACCCAAGCTCTTGCGCTTCAACTCAGCAGCACCCAGGTTCTTTTTACGCCTCAGTTCAGCACCCAGGCTCTTTGTATGTATCAGTTTAGTAACATCCTGGTTCTTTGCACGTTTTAGTTCAGCAACACCCAGGCTCTTGTTCAAAGGTTTCAGTTTAGTAGTACTTGGTGTCTTTGTACGTTTCAGTTCAGTAACATTTGGGTTCTTTGTACGTTTCATTTCAGTAACATTCGGGTTCTTTGTACGTTTCAGTTCAGTCACATTTGGGTTCTTTGTATGTTTCAGTTCAGTCACATTTGGGTTCTTTGTACGTTTCAGTTCAGTAACATTCGGTTTCTTTGTATGTTTCACTTCAGTAATACTCAGGCACATCACAGGAGCTTTCTTCCTTGCGGGGAGCAGCCCCTCCAAGCCCCTCGCAGGAGCCTCACCGCTTGGCTCAACACGATTCTCTTTGCCCACTAATGAGTCACAAAATAAACGTGTTTTATTTTCGACAGAGTTTACCATACTTTGTGACGCAATGTTTCTGTTGCTCAGAAATTGTGATGGAATGTTTCTACTGTTGATTACACGCGATGCAAGGTTACTTCTCTTCATCATTTGTGATGCAATGATTTTCCTGCTCGGTGTCTGTAAACGAGCATGAATATTGATAACGGACTTTAAATGAGGTCCAGTTTGCACCTGCAAGTTGGAAGTTTTAGGATAAGCAGGACTTCCCGCAGGATGCGGTGACTCAACATCACATTTATCTTCAGCTTCTAGCAGCAGGTCCTCCATATTGTTCCCACAATCAGGCCATGGATGGTCCAATTGGAATTGAGGAGCATGAACAGACTTGTTTACAACAGGATCACTGACAACAATTTCAGAAAATTCCTTGGTTTTGGTGCCACTAGATCGTGTGTGATACTCGTTTCTTGCCATAGGTTCATTAGTGCCCTGCATATCTTTACGATGAATAGGATTAGATTTCCCTCCATTTATGGGGCGGAAAAAATTGCAGTTTCTAGATATTCTAGGCAAAGGCTTAGTAGGTGCTACATTATCACCAGCAAAATTCTCATTCATTTGTCTAAGGCAAGGAGTGATAAGTCTTGCAGCTGCTGCTGTAGATTTTTCTTCTTCTTGGTCAATAATGTTGTTCACGTTGAGATTCAGTTCTAGTTTGGGAGATTTATTATCCTTAGCCGTGAATTGATCTTCCTCAACGGAGCGCTTGCCACATGTCTGGGTCCGTGCTGATTTCCGGGTTGCACTTGGAGCAAAACCCTTAAAGGAACATCTATTCCTTGATGGATTGACAGCCTGAGTACTTACATCAATTGAGGCATCAGGAAGCTCCTTAGTTGATGAGTTGTTAACCTTAGGATTTACATCACTTGAGGCATCAGGAAGCTCCTTAGTTGATGAGTTGTTAACCTTAGGATTTACATCGCTTGAGGTATCAGGAAGCTCCTTAGTTGATGAGTTGTTAACCTTAGGATTTACATCACTTGATTTTAGAGGAGGCTCATCAGAAAACATCTCAAGTAGAATCTCCTCGGCTGCAGAAGGATCATCAGGAAAAGGTTCAACATGACTCATTTCAAACCCTTCAAAGCCCTCCACGCTGTCATGTACGCTTACCAAGTCACTTGAATTGCATTTTAATTCTTTGTTAGGCAACGAAGAGCCTCTTTTTCGCAACGCGATCTTCTCCGAAGTCAAGTTTGCATGGTTCCTATTTTTGGATGCAGAATTGCAGCGCTTAGACCTCATGGCAGGAGTGACGGCAAAGTTCCGTGCCTCGGGGCAGCAAACTTTCACAGATTTCATCTCAATTTTTGATTCTTTTTCTGTGATTTCAAGAGGCAGTTTCGGTGAAAGGAGTGATGGGGCATGACAAATGAGCTTTTTCTTTGGCAAATTAAGAGTTTCTGGCAAACTGGTTTGCGGATTTATTCCCGGTGATGCCCCTGCACGGTCTTCAGTGTCCAAGGGAACTTTTCTGGTAAGTCGAATTTTTTTACGTGGGCGCTTGCAAGTTTCAATTTCAGGGGCTGATTCGGTTTCAACAAAACTGCACCTCATATCTAGAGGAACCATAATTTTTTCTAGAGACACAACTACTTCCTGGCAATTGGTTGAGTCACAAGGAAGTTCATTATGGGTATTGACATTTTTTCCCCTCTTCTCGCATGGAAATTTGACTGCAGAATTCAAGTTGACGTTTTCAGCAGGCTTGGACTCGTCTGAAAGTGATTTTTTAAACACGGTCCCGGGTCCAGGGGCAGCATGTGGTCGGGACTGAGCTGTGGTGCCGGACCCACTATCACCACAAGGGACCACAGGACAAGCGATGGTCCCAGTATTTGGGTCTCCACAATTTGTTACAGTAACAGTGCTGGTTACACGCTTCCTTTTGTTGGAAATATCGCGTAATTTTGACAAGGAAGGCAAACTTTTGTCAGAATTACTGGGAAATTTTGACACGGAAGGCCCCTTTTTTTCAGAAGTTTGTGACTTTTTTAAGCCCGTGATATTAGATGTGAGTGATCTGCGATGCCGTGGAGAAACCCAGTTCTTGAAAGAGTGTTTTGATGTTTTAAGATTAGGTCGTCGATTAATTGCCACAAGAGAGGAGCTCTGATTAGTTTTTTGACAAGATTTTGAAGCATTAATCCTCTTATCAATGTAATCATTGCCAAGGGTAGGGGCTGGTGCATGAGATGCCTTGTTTCTTGCGCCGTCTGAAGATGATCGAAGTAAACTTTTTGTTCTTTTCGAACATTTGTCCGAGGCCAAACACTTTGTTTTTTTGTCTGCTTCTGAGTTAATGTTATGGCTACATGATGGTGAGATTGCAGAGTTGCTTGGATTCTCAATGGGATTATTCAAATTATGAGTACTTTGAACATTGATATTAATAGGTTTTCCTTCTGGAAAATCTGCGTGGTTACTAAAATCCAGTTGCACTAATGACACAGACAGCTTGTGCATTGAAGCTTTCTTCACAAGATCAGAATATACAGCTCGATCAGGAACACTCTTAGCAGCCATCGATGCAATTGAACCAGAGGGAACTGCAGGATTTTCAACATGGTCCACATTGTTGCTTTTTATATCTTTAGTACACGTGATGTTTGAGGTACATTGTTTTTTATTACAAGGTAAACATTCTGTGCAGGAGGAACAACGTTTGCGCTTTATTGCTTCTCTTAATTTACAACTGCTTTGTGAATTACAAGATAAAGATTGTGAAGTCTGTTGATTTTTCTTGATGGTTGACTTCATTTTTGAATTAGCTTTTATATGAGAATAATTATTTAATTCATTTTTTTCATGATTACTGCAGTCTTGTTCTGATTTAGAAATCTTCAAAGATGAATGGCTTTGTGTATGAAGAGAATTTTCTTTTGCTTCATTTTTCATGAGTCTTGAAGATTTGAGGCAGCCTTTTTTGAAGAACTTGCAGATGTTTCCGTCATTTGATGGAATAAGACCACGATTTTCCACAACATTGGGATTGCACTGAACCTTTTTGGAATCAACAGTGCTCAAGTTATGCCTATTTTTGAAAATTTTGCTGAGGAGGCGCTGTTTAACTCTACTTGCTTCTTCTCCCTGATTCGAAATTTGGTTATAAACGTTAACATCGGAAGACTTGATATCCAGCGCTGTGCTGCCATTCTTCATACTTTGAGTACAATTGTGCGCCTTTTGTGCCTTATTTCCAGCTGACACGTTTCTATTCTTCGTATTTAGGGGCACATTGTGTTCCATTTGTGCCTTATTTCCAGCTGCCACTTTTCCTTTCTTCGTATTTAGGGGCACATTGTGCTGGGTGCTTGACTTATTTTGTGCTAGAACTTTTCTAATCTTCCTATTTTGTGTCCCACAAGGCAAAATTAATTTCTTTTCTTCAGCTGCAGCAGCAATGTTTTTCAGTACTAATGAGCTATCACAGGCTTTGAGTTTAACATCAGCAACAATGCAAGACTTCCTTACTTTTGACGGCTTACAGGGAACTGAATTTAATTTATTGAGCTCATCAGACACAGCTTGGTGTTTCGATGACTTGGTTATCCTGCTGGACGCTGGGGTGTACACTGAGCTACGAGACACTGAGCTACGAGACACTGAGCTACGAGACACTGAGCTAGGAGACCCTGATTTGCACACTGAATTCTGAGACACTGAACTACGAGATGAACAGTCGACTGAGTCTTCCAAAGGATGAGGACTTGCGACTGAGGACATGCGAAAGGACTTGCGACTGAGTCTTCCGAAGGATGGTTCGGTGCCGCAAGCATGTTCCGTATCACCCGTATCCTTATCACTTGATGCAGGCTGACCCGTATTCTTATCACTTGATGCAGGCTGATGTTCGCCAAGAGGTTCCATGTTTGTTATTCACACGGGGCTGGTAGCGTCAGGGTGTTATACGGTTGAGAGCTTCACACGGCTACTTCTGGTCCTGAAAAATAGAATATAGTAAATTAAGTTGCACAATACAACATGAAAAATCATAAAGAAATGTAAAAGTAACATTTGAATTTATACAGCATAGGCCTTCCAAAAATATTTTTGAATTAACACTAATTGCACAATTATTAGAAATTTGTTACTCTAAAACAATTAAACAAAAATAACTCACATCAACTAAATGTAAAAAATAACTAAACTAATTTCAAATAAACCAGATTAATTAGAATGCCAGCCAAATAAAGCAATGGTTATATGTTGATCAATCAACTATCATTGTAATAGATACTTCACACAAAATATTCAGGCATCATTTGCATGGATGTGTATTAAAAATAATCCTAGTTATTAATTATCTTGTAATATGCGATTATTTTAATATTGTCATGATTAACATTATTAGTATCACTAACAATAATTTACTGGTAACAACACAACATTATTAATGATAAATTACTCTGAACTGAAACATTAATAATGTTATTATCATCATAACTAATCATATAAATAATTTAAATTTAAATCATTTAATTTAAAGTGAATAGTGTGAATTTAAATTTAAAGTGAACTAATTAAAGTGAACTCAATAATGCAATTTAACTAATTTAAAGTGAATTTAAATTAAAATTTAAATTCACTAATACAGTTCACTAATTCACCTAATTTTAAAGTGAACTCAATAGTGCAGGAGCAAATCATGCACATCAGCAGAAGTTTTTTCTTCAAGCAGGTATTAAAGTCATAATTAGTATTATGTTTATTATGAATTATTATTATTATAGTTATTATTATAATTAACATGGACATTATAACTAATTTCAACTTCTGTGATCATGGCATTTCAACACACACATGATGAAAAATAACAACAAAAATCACATCATTAATTATAATAAAAAAAAATTTATTACAGCCGAAGGGAGCTGAAAAAATATTTATATGGTTATTACATTATTTTTTTATCATGTATATGCACATTAATGCAATTAACATGCAATAATAATCTTAATGTAAATAATAGATTAATCTAAAATATATAATAATTATAACATGAACATCAATCAACCAATGTCAACAAGCAGAAATAGTTTACAAAATATGTTATCTATTTTTTTAGAACAAGATGATAATTTGGAAGCTGATTTGTCAATATAAAGCAACAATCATTTCCAATCACACTAAATTGACAGTTTAATTCTTATTAACATGTGTTAACTAACTTTTTGCATATTTTAACAATCTAGACCAGAGTTCCACTAACTTGATAACTTTGAAGTTTAAGTAACAACTTGACTGCACGCAGGCAGCTCATGGCTCAGCAGCTCTGTATAAATGTATTTATTTAAGAACATAACATAATATAAAATATGTGTGAAGAAGAAAATGAACATAGTTATTATATAAATTGCTAGGTACAAAAGATAACATAGCATAAGGTATGTATGTGAATATAAGAATATATATACCATACCTATATATTCACATATAGGTATGTACCGTAAAATGGGGTAACTTAGACCGGCGGGGTAACTTAGACCACTTTTTGTTTTTTTAACAAAAAACCCCAAAACTCAAAAACTATTTGACATAGAAAAATTTTGTCAATGGCCATCAAAGGCCTAATACAGAGGCTACGTAACCCAATAGAAAGATTTAAAAAGTTTGCATATCTAATAGGTTAAAAAATTAAAAATGTGACAAAAAAGAGCTATTATTTATAGCCTGTTGGAGTACTCCCGCCAATATTTTTGGTAAAATAACTCCAGGTTTTGACGCATTGTAGTAGAACTCTTCTAGTTACATATGCAAAAGACAAATTTTAGGAAAGTGTCATAGTTTGCAAATGGGGGGCGCCGCCCCCAAATGGGCGAAATGTGACCACCTAATGGCAGCCGTGACGGGGTAACATTGACCAGCTTGGAAATTAAGTTAAAATTACCATAAGTTTATCTAGTAAAAAAAATGGCATCATTTAAAAAAAAGTGGTCAAAGTTACCCCATTTTACGGTATATTAATTGCTACAAGAGATAACATAGCATAATATATAGGTACCTATGTATATGAATATGAGAAAATAAACATATTTTTAACAAAATATATTTACTACAAGAGATAATAGATAAATAGGTGAATAAAAATATGTTACTAGTGATATTTTGATTATACTTGTATATAACATACAGCCATGTATCAGTCTGTGTGATCAGGTGCAACACAAGTTTTAATACAGGATGGACAAGCAACAGATCTGAATGACAATAAAAACCCTTGTCAAGTTAATAAATAAAGTGAATCAATAGCAGGTTGCTTGTGATAAAGTCTAACTATATAGGTAATATCTAACTAAAGTTAAAAAAATTATATGAGAAATTTATACAAGATTTGGTCCAGTATTAGTGCTGTCTCTTATACACATCTAGATGTGTATAAGAGACAGGNTGGCGTGATCATCACAATGCTTCGTTAGGAGCTTGCCATATGAATTATTCCAGGAGAATTTACTGTCAAACCCAGCAGATGAATGATATTAAATTAGATCATTTTACAAATATTTAAACGGCCATGTTATTGAAGCTGTACGTGTGTGAAATTATTTGCACTGAACTCCTGTACAGCTGTCTCTTATACACATCTAGATGTGTATAAGAGACAGGATAGTAGTTAATCCATCTTGATTAGTTAATTAGTTAAGTAGTTAATCCATCTTGATTAGTTAATTAGTTAAGTAGTTAATCCATCTTGATTAGTTAATTAGATAGTAGTTAATCCATCTTGATTAGTTAATTAGTTAAGTAGTTAATTCATCTTGCAAGAATCTTGTGGCTCCAAATTGGCAAAGAAGCTCTGCTGGCAGCTAAAAAAGTATATATATTCTACCCTAATAATAAACACAATGTCCCAGCAACTTTCAAAATTGCCTATGAAAATATCATATACATTAACAATTTGTTAAAAATTGTGCCAAATATTACAGGTTGCATGAACAATAAAAACACCCATATAAAGGTGCAGAATTTGGCAAATGCCTTGCCAAGATTGGCATTGAAGTTTTTTTTCAAACATTGCCAGCAGTATTCAGAACATGTTGTTGCATCACAACATGTTGTTGCAACATGTTGTTCAGCCATTACCACATGCAATGCTGTCACCCGTAGCAATTGTAATGGAGGTATGTCTGTGCAGCTGTGCAGGTCACTGTGCATCAGCCAAATAGATCGTAATTAATGTGCTTATGTCTGAGCTGATCATAGCACATTGGCTGTATTAAATTCATGTAATATTTACAATGTAGATGTGTTGGCAAGATCTTCTGAAGACTAAAAATTCTACTATTGATTTGTCACCAATGATGTTCAGATATTTGCTCACTTTCAGATATTTTAGACCTGATATCTCCAGATGTTTGTTTTTTTTAATGATCTTCAGATATTTGTGACCTGGCACCCAGCATGTTTACAATTCCACCTGTTCTTTTGGCCATTGCCTAACTTCTTCACAGTTAAGATAAATAATTTTAGTAATAATATAATTTTGAATAAATAATTTTAGACTACCTACATTTATTGAAAATAGACTGGGAAACAATAATTGAAACCCATAATTTAAAAAATTTTTGCTGATATTTCAGATTGGTCAACCAGTGCCATACATTGAAGGTGCAGAAAGTGGGTGAATATTGTAAGATCTTTGGCAATGCATCAGCAGCAAATTTATGCCTTCAGAAGATCTTGCAGACACATTTGGATTGAAATTTTTGCACATTAGAAATTACTTAGAAACTAATGTAATTATTTCAAATCTGAAAGACGATAAGCAAACACAGTAAGGTTTCTGGTATGTTAGATGGGTCAGGATGCAGTGAAGCTTGTCCAGAAATCAGTTGCAATGAGTGTAAGTGTTGCAGTGTGTAGAGAGTAAGAAATATACTTTCAAAGTTGTTAGCAGCATTTTCTTATTAAAAATTACCCAGCAATGCATCTTTAAATTGGCTGGCAACGCTTTGGGCTATTAATCCATATCTTGGCAACACTGCTTGCAAACTCGGCACGCTAGCCATACATTCTCATTCTGGGAAATTAGGCACGGGAGGTGAAAAATTGGGCAATGTCACCTATGAATCACACAAAAACATCCATGAATATGGTAATTTTTTTCCCTTTCAATTTTTGAAACTCACTTGGGTAACACTCATTTTTACCAGTAAATTTAAGATAATTCTACCCAATATTTCAAATTATTTAGGTACACACCACCAGTGAATGAGACAAATATGCCTATCTTGCAGTCCATTAATCCATTTCACTTGTTATGATGATGGTTCTTGCCTAATTTTTTGTTGTGTAGACCAGAACTAGGAAAAAAGTACACTTTCAATCTTAATTATCAAAAATAACTACAAACTACATGTACAAAGCAGATTTAACTTTTTATTAAAATAATTAAATTATTATTTTAAAAAATTAAAAAAAATTTATTTTAATATACTTTTATTAAAAAAAATAATATTCTACATTTGAATGCTGGGTCGCTGTTCCTATCCCATAAACATCATAGCATAAATTTAGAATATTAGGCAGATTTAACTTCTACAAAATTTCTGGTAAAATTAATTGTCTTGCAGGGGACTTTTAACAAATTGCTGAAAAAATTTGGTTGGTTTCCTTATTATTCATTGAAGAAATCAGGAAAAAGCTTAGACCTATGGGCCATAACACTTTACCGCTAAATCGTACTTTCTAGTCACCTTTAAAAAACACCGGTTTTCTAATAATTTTACATTTTCTTTCATTTTTTGAAAAATTCACACAAATAAAAAAAGTCTTAGATTTATTTTTTACATATGTGTTCCAAGTTTCAAAGTTATCTGTCTGTAAATAACCAAAATAAAATTTCCAATTTCCAATGCCAATTTCCAATAGCAATTTCCAGTTTCTTGTGGAAATTTTANGTCACCATTTCAACCATCAATGAACGCATGGAACTAAAACAAAGCTTAATATAAAGGAAAAACTAGAGAAGTGACGGAATTACCTACGATGTCGGAATATATCGCGTTTACCCTTCATCAGAATGAAAGTTATTGGATGGAACTGCAGGATTGGAATTTTCCTTCATGTTTCTGTCTTTCTGATATCTTCAAGACTTCAACTTATCTTGCGGGCTGCGGCTCCAACCTCCAACACGACACATTTTAAATACAATTGGAATCTTGCGGCCTGATCATGCACTTTTGTTAACAATTAGGTAGATAGGACTCATAGGAGCCTAGGAGGTAATTCATCTGGCGGAAATCTTGCGGACGCGGTTCCTGAAATGGCAGGAAAGCTCTAGTTGGGGCCCTAAAGATAGATGTTTTCTATGCTTGGATGGGAGAGGCTGAGGCCTGACTGCCTGAGGGGCTGAGGCTGAGGGCCAAGAGGTGAGAGCCAATAGTGAATAGACATAACCAGAACCTGAAATCCTGAAAAGAGATTTATATTTTATAGAAATAGAGTCTTCTTTTGTATTAAAAAAGACCATTTTACATTTCCAATCCTGCATCTCTGGATGATCTTTTCATAGCCATGATATTGATAGATTCATATTTAGCCTAAATATTAATATATCTTTATACGGGAACCTTTATAATATTACTTCGTACTATGAATAAGATAAATATTTTAGAAAATTTATTTACTTGATTATAACAAATAATAATAAAAATATATTGTATTTCTATCCCTCAGGAGCCTCTGTAATATTACTTCGTACTACGAATATGATAAATATTTTCAAAAATTTCTTTACTTGATAATAAAAAATAAAGATATCTTTAAAAAAGGCAGGCTCTGTGCATTTATTTCAAGATAAAGATTATATCTTAAAACGCGAGCTTCAAGCTAAAGCTAAGATTTAATGAGAATATATATTTTCCTAAATATAGTGCGAGTATATTATATATACGTGAGCCAAGTTTAAGTATACTATATATATTCATATATTATATATACGCGTGTATAATTGAGTTCGCGTCGATACTCTCAGCTTTAACTTGACCATTCAACTTTAAATATTTCTGTAAATAAAGTTAAAATAAAATTTAAATATTGAAGTGAAAAAGACTTAATATATCAGTACTTAATAGTTTACTACAAGCATTTCCAGCAACTAAGGATATTTGGTATTCAATATTTAAAAGAATATTCGGCATTTAATATATCAATATATTTGGTATTCAATATTATAATATTTTAAAATCAAAATTCATTAATAATAATAGAGGTTAATAAAAATAACATGACGCACAATCGTTGCTTTACTTTTCATCATTAATGACGTCTAAATCTCACTCCTATCATCACCGTTATCATTAGACTTAACATTTTGTACACGAGTATTGCTAATGTTTTCTTACCTATGTTACTGTACAGTTAAATTTTTGAGTATTGATATTTTCAAAAGATAAAGATTTTTTATAGCCTTAATACTTTTAAAAATCAAAAGACAATTTGTACTGCTGATATATTTACTTATAAAAAAATTATCGAGTCTTCATATTTTCGTAATTTAAAAAGAAATTTCGAGTTTAGATTTTAATTTCAGATACTCGCTTAAAAAAAATTCATTTGCATTTACACCATAATTGGAATTGTATAAAAAATTTTACAATTAATTATGTTACAAATTACACCAGGAATAGGGAACTTCTTATCGCACATTGAAACAATATTTCAATGTTTTTGATTTGCAATTATTTTTTATAATGTATAATATGTGAATTTCTCTAATATCTTCCACAACTCAAACACATATACACCCAGGAAAATGAGTGGGCACATTGTACAAATAGTGAACCACTTTCGTATCCACAGCCCCGAGCAGTGACAGTGGACTGCTACATAGCGTGGCCTGGGACTGCTACATAGCGTGGCCTGGGACTGCTACATAGCGTGGCCTGGGACTGCTACATAGCGTGGCCTGGGGCTGTCACGTTTGTGTGTACGGTCAGTGTGATTATGTAATTTGCATTGCTGTGCGTGTGCGTCCATATTTAAACTATTTTAGCTTTCTAAATGTACGGCGCTCTCGGCGCACGGCGCATTTTTTTTACCGGCATAGTACGGCGCACCGCGCAGGTCGTTAAAATGACAATATAAATTCCCGCGCACCTGGCACATCTTCCTGACCATGGACCAGGTCCAGTGTCAGTGGTCCGGTCGGAACTCTGAATTGCGCTTAGCATACAACGACGTATTTATAATTATAACGATCTCACTATATAATATCATACATTCCGACGTCGCTGCCTCTATCTTAGTAACCGTTAGTTACGTAACCTCAGTCACAGCGTCACTACGACTGTACGGCACTACGGTGACACGTGACACCACCTGTTCATGCTTCACGGCTCACGGACCACTCACAACGGTTCACCTTCTCTGGCGAACAGGTGAATCACTGAATAATAAACAATTACGGTATATTTTTTAATTATTCTAATTTTAATCAATCAAATGGACTATACGAATTAATACGTTAAAATATGGTTAAAATTAAAAGAAGAGTAAACCGGCACAAAGACACACAGATTTTCGAGGCGCGGCTTTAAAAGAATCCGTCGCGCGCGTCGCCGCCGCTCTTCTTGCGTACCGCGGCTGCGGATTTTTTAAAAATCCTGACGCAGGACACAATTTTGAAAATATATATATAATTCCGGACATTGGAAGTTTTGGTACATGTATACATTATTCATGATTATTACATTCCAGTTTACATTATTTACAATTCTCTATTACATGATTTACCAAAAAATGCGTAACCGCACACCGTATCAGAGGCACGTATAATTAAAATTTAAGCTGACAAAACTAAATTGTATTAAAAATTCTATTTATTAACACTTTAAATATGTGCCAGAAACTTTTTCAATACTCAATATGGAGCGTTGATGAAATGATGTGCTAACTTAACCCTCTACAGCCCTGTGTGTGTCACTCCGGAAACATAACTTTCAACTTAAATTATACGTAAACTATTGAGTGTTGCAACCTGAGATGTTTGTACGCAACAGAGAACATTTTAACCTTCTACCGCCGCATGTCACTCTCCGGGAACATAACTTTCAGCTTAAATTATACGTATTATTATTGAGTATATCAACCTGAGGACGTTTGAACGCAAGAGAGAACATTTTAAAGTTGTCGTTGTTGGGCTTGCTTACTGTTCTATAGTGCCAACGGCTGTGGTTGGACTTCGCCTACGATTACGGTACCTGAAATCATGAGGTTGGAGGTTAAGTTAAGATGACAATATCTTAAAGTTACCTAAAATGCTTCACATTAAAAGAGATGAAATGTATCACAAGTCTGCAGGGATGACGTGCAGACGACGCTGGGAACAAAGTAGTCTCCCGCGCAAATTTTCTACACCGGGAGGGCTCGCGGAGCCACACACTACTCTCTCGAGCTCTAGACGCCCACTGGTGAGGGTGAGGCACTGACGCTGCTAGGAACGCGGGAACCGTTTGAGGGGTCGCTGCGTTCACGGGGTGGTTATTTCGTCGATCTTTGCGATATTTTCCACGCACTTGTGAAGTGAACGCCGAGATGAGTGAAGATTTTAAGAAAGAATAGATGAGGATAGGAAAACTTAGTGCGTTTAATCTGACGAGTGACGAACGACGTCACAAAAACAGCTCTGTTGAATTGGTGCGAGGACAGGTCTGCTAAACTGATAGGAAAAAAGGTCTGTTGAACTGATACGAGAACAGGTCTATTAAACTGATGCAAAATCAGGCCCGTTAACCTAATACGAGAAGAGGTCTGTTAAATTAACGGACAGCAAAGGACTGATAAGAAGTAAAACATGGTACCGGGAATTTATTTAAATAAAAAATGGTAATTTACCCTTATTCTATGAGACACGATAGTGGTGGGAAAAATCGAAATCCGAAGGGAATGTTGAAACATCCAGGGTACTCAATTATAAAATTTATTCAATAAAAGAATCATGCAATAATGATCATAATTTCCGTTTATATTTGTATATTTGTGTGCTGTTGCCGGGTGTTATCGCTCTATTGTGCGACGTGCTCATCTCACGCATCGGCTTCCACCCCCATGTTCCGTCAGCAGCTGTGGGGTCACCAATGAATAATTAATTTCATTTTTAATTACCTGAATGACTTATTAATATTAAATTAATAACCAGTATTTCATTTAAGAACTGAAAATCCTCTGACTTTCTATACAATTCAAAAATCTGTATTAATTTATTAATTAAAAATTGGAGAGAGAAAATATTGATTCACGATTTGCATCGTGCATCTTTCGGGGAGACGGAATCATTGGTTGAATTTTTTTTAGTTTTAACTAAAATTTAAAGTTTAACGTAGAGTAGGTATAAGGTGAAGTATAATGTAAAATATAATGTAAAGTATAATGCAAAATATAATGTGAAGAATGATATAAAATATAATATAAAATATAATGTAAAGGATAACGCAAAATTTAATGAAAGGTATAATGTAAATTATAACGCAAAATATAATTTAAATTATAAACTATAATGTTAACTATAATGGAAAGGGTAACGTAGAGTAGTATCATGTAAAGTGTAATGTAAAGTACAATATAATATATAATGTGCACCGACTCACCACAGAACTATTCATCGTCGTGTTCAGCACGTCCAGCCCTCACGTCGGCCATCATCTTGACGAGCATCTTGTTGCACAGAGCAGCCATGGGGTTCAGCGCCGCCACCTGCGGGAGCGAACACAGCTACACGTAATAATAATACGACATAGTGTAGTATATAATATAATAACGTACTTAATATGAAATGGCCGCCAGTTGGGGGAGCGAACACAGCTACACGTAATAATAATAATAATTTGCCGAGTGTAGTATATAATATAATAACGTACTTAATATGAAATGGCCGCCAGTTGGGGGAGCGAACACAGCTACACGTAATAATAATAATAATTTGCCGAGTGTAATATATCGCGATACAATAATAAAATTAATACAAAATGACCGCCAGTTGCGGGAGCGAACACAGCTACACGTAATAATAATACGACATAGTGTAGTATATAATATACTAATATACTTAATATAAAATGACTGCCAGTTGGGGGAGCGAACACCGCGGCACGTAATAATATCAGATAATATCATATGTAATAATTGCGATTTTAGTGATTTCGAGTAGAATTTATACAGCTTGTTTTAGGTTTCGAACCCCCAACTCGCGGCTCTAACCCTAGTGACTTTATTAAGATTAAAGACGATGAAGAAGATGATTTTGCACAAAGGCAAAAAGCGCCTCGTAATTTGTACAAATTCCCACACATTTCTTCGCGTATAACCAGAGGCAGAGTAGAGCTATACAGCTATACACTGGGGCAAAATATGCATGTAAATTTGGACAAACTACCACAAATTTCTATGCGTATAACCGGAGGAAGAATCCAGCTACACTAGGATAACTAGGATTCAGCTACACTAGGATAAAATATGCATGTGCATCTAAATTTGAACAAATTCCCACAAATTTGTGTGTGTATAACCTGTGTCGTAGCTGGGGCAAAATGTGTATCTAAATTTGGACAAACTACCACAAATTTCAATGAGTATAACCTGTGTCTTGGCGAAGGCAGAGCCGAGCTGTGCAGCGGTGCAGAAGCAGCTGTGCGCAGCCTCGTGTCTGCCGTGCAGACGGTGCAGAAGCCCGAGCTGTACGCACGCCTGTCTCTTCACCGGCCCGTCTGTGGTGCACAGCTGCACAGCTGCCTCCAGGTCCTGCAGCGCTTCTGCACAGCCATGTGAAGAATGTTATATATATATTATATATAGCACGTTATATATATGATGTGGCTCTGCACAGCCATGTGAAGAATGTTATATATATGATGTGGCTCTGCACAGCCATGTGAAGAGTTATATATATATGATGTGGCTCTGCACAGTCATGTGAAGAGTGTTATATATATGATGTGGCTCTGCACAGCCATGTGAAGAGCGTTATATATATGATGTGGCTCTGCACAGCACGTTATATATATGATGTGGCTCTGCACAGCGCGTTATATATATGATGTGGCTCTGCACAGCACGTTATATATATGATGTGGCTCTGCACAGCCATGTGAAGAGTGTTATATATATGATGTGGCTCTGCACAGCCATGTGAAGAGTGTTATATATATGATGTGACTCTGCACAGCCATGTGAAGAATGTTATATATATGATGCAACTCTGCACAGCCATGTGAAGAATGTTATATATATGATGTGGCTCTGCACATATAATTATTGACGAAATAAATATAAATATTCAATTATTATCACTTGAATGACATATCATTGATTATTATTATAAGCAATTTATTATAATGATTCAATGTAATAATCAATTGATGTCATCGTGAATATACAGTGACACCATCTTGTGCTGATAAAACATTATATTAGAGAAACTTCAATCATGTTTTTCATTCAATTTTGATAAATCAAAAATTATATGTATATTGCATTCGTTTTTCTACTCAATTTTTGAAATGAAATACTCAATTTTTTTATACTAAATTTGAAATAAGTATGAAATGTTGCAAATATTGTGAGGATTTAAAATTAATTTTAATAAATAAATGCATATAGCACTAAAATATAGATTTCTAATATATGTTTAACATAGAAAACTATATATACATTCATATTTTCAAATACATTTTTAGCATTCAAATGAATAAGATACTTAACTGCGTTTAATCACTAAATATATATATAACATTCAAAATAAATAATCTAATAGTAATATATTCAACGATCGGTCAATAGCCGGACAGGGATTAGAAATCCGGACAAAATTTCGTCCGGTTATGTACTTTGTAACGGACGAAAAAATAAATGAACTAAATTAAAGGAAATTAAAAAAAATATAACTCAGTACTCCCTGCAGTGAGTGACAGAGAGCGCATTTTCTCGTCGACGAAAACTTGAGGTCACGGAA